ATAAATCCTTTGACCTGATTGGCTAAACGAGTGGTAATTATTGCTTCAAGAAAATATTTCAAAGTCACCATAGCAACCTTCTTGCAAAGAAAAGGAAGAAGAACCTTCTGCAGAATATCATTGAATTGYATTATAAGTAGATGTATAGGAAATTGCTTTTAAGATATTATATTCCAATGAGAACAAAAGACAAAGATGGCACCTACTGAAATTTAACAATAGGTCGACAAATGCCCATATAAATAGTCAAYCCCATTACYGTTGTTCAGCTGTAAAGACATAAAGACAACAACAAAGTCATTTGCATATSTCATATTTGTATTTTTTGCAAGATATTTCACCCGCTCAAGTTTCAAAACTTTATAACAATGTCTATAACATGTGCTATACTTGCAAGCATGAGCTGCGAGYTTTTAATTAAAATCCGTCGCTGGAATTGAAATAAAAACCTTTTCATGCAAATAACTTTAATGTTGTTGTCTTTACGTCTTAAAAAGTGAGCGCAACATTTATAGTGGTATTGAATGTATAAATCATGTGTAGATATTTAAGTCATTTTTATTTGCAAACGAAAGTAGGGTTAGGATTCGCGACAGCATTTCAACCAAAAGCGTCTCGGCTTAATAGTTGTTCATTTCAGTTTAACGAGTATGGAATACTATGACTATGTAGAATAGGTCATTTTCTCATCTGAGGAAGCAGTGAATATGACCAAATTATAGAATGAAATGTAAAAACAATCGTCGATATGACTTCACTGTCAGTTTGGCCCATACTACTTTCAGAAACTACCTTGTGCCTTTTTCTCCCGTCACGTGTGGGGTATCCCACTAGTGAAGTTATTAGGAAAAAACCTTTATTGCTTTTGAGAATCAATTTATTATATATAATTATGGACGAGATACCTAAATTTCTCTCTTTCGTAAARCATTGAAAATAATACATCAGTCGAGGTTTCTCTATATATTTGAATAAAAAAAGGTATGTCCTATTACGACCTATTTCCTTTCATATATAGAGGATAAATTGCATGGGCGTGCGGATACGGCATTTTATCTTCGAGTGCTGAAAAGATCTCTCACGAGTGAGCGTAGCGACGAAACCAAATTATGTCTTAAAACAACTTTTATTTAGATCAAATAAATGGTTGTAGGTCGGTCTATTCATTAYGATGTAAGCGCTTTTWGGTTGAAGTAGCGCTTACATCGACATCGTAGTAGCTTTTATTTATTAGCTCCAATATAATATATGAGAATGTTTTATTTTCACTTGTAGCAACTTTACGAGAAATATAAGTATTTTATAGATAATTATATGATAAAAACAGAATATTACATGGTCACTTGGAGACGCTTGGAGATACGAATTTTAACTTCTCGTGTTGAAAATCGCTACGCTCACTCRTGAGAGATGTTTCARCACTCGAAGATCAAATTKATATCTCCACGCGCCCATGTAATATCCTCTATATCCAGATAACTATACTTTAAATTTATGTCAAGATTGACGAAACGTTTAATCGTGAATTTTTTTTAACATCTTTAAAATATTTGAAGCCAAATATCATCATGAAACASACTATTACATATTTGCAATCCAATATTGGCCATTTAATCATTTCATCATTCCATGTTTGAACCATATATTTTGTAAACGAACGTTAATTCATTAGGCGTTATCATAACTGACATTCATTCTTTAATCAAACAATCTAATTACTCATACAGAAGAAAATGAAGTTATGTTATCACGCAACAATTAAAATAATGAATTAATGCTTATCATTGCTCTTATCATTGTTTAATATTGGCGATTGTAAGTAACAGGTCACGTAAACCTATCATCTATAAATCAAGTAGTATTTGACAWGCAGATACAAAAAATCTTATCAAAGTTGCGCAACATATTGTTGATCYTCACTATTGTGTTTTAGCGTTAGTGTCTCTTCCTGTTATGCGAYACTGGTTCTCGCCAGTCTTTATGCAAGATAAATGAAGAAAAAAMWTCGCACGCTACAGATAGACCCGATACAAGTTCCAAAGGTTTYCCACCTCATATTTCGTGTCTGCAATCTGTAGTGCTTTTTTCAATTTCTAATGACAACTCAATGGACAGTCTCTCAAACTAGCGCTCACTTTAAGGCTGCTTTTGGCACGTGAACAAACATGAACTTTTTTCAAATACCCATGTTATATATTARATATTATATTTAATTCAATTYAAGMAACKTKTRTCTTGGTCTWATTATGKTGTTTTGCTAGGTGTTTGTCCTGGTGTGTTGCTTATTCATCATGGTTTCAGTGACACAGTTCTGCCTGGCCACAGTACCATCCATTCGACAAGACCAATCAGCCGTCGAAATTCTTCGACTACTTGACACCATTACCTCTATCTGGTTCACCATCGAGTTTATCCTGAGGCTTCTGTTTTGTCCAAAGTTTACAACGTTCATCAAAAACCCAATGAAYTGGGTAGACTTCATGGCGATTCTACCRTTTTACTTTAGGATGGTGCACCTRGAAGAGAAAATCTCATGGCTCRTCCTAATGCGAACTTTACGGATCTTTAAAATCTTTACTCTGTCCTTCTCATTCCAAATTCTGTTTCGCTCTCTCATTTCCAGCAAGAATGAACTTTTCCTGGTCTTTGTGAGTCTGCTGGTACCCATCATCCTCTTCTCCAGCATGATATATTTTGCTGAAAAGGACYACAAYACCAAAMATTTTCAAAGTATCCCRGAWTCCTTCTGGTGGGCTATAATAACAGTGACAACTGTGGGATACGGTGACGTATGTCCTATTACCAAATTAGGTAAAGTCATTGGAGCCCTTTGTGCCATATGTGGAGTCGTTATAGTAGCACTTCCGGTTTCWGTAATCGGAAGTAACTTTTCATACTATTATGTYCAGGCACGYACRCGYGTTCAGCAGCCAAAACGWAGCAATAATGATACKGGRATTACCAGAGTACCAGCACATATTATGCATCGTCATTTCATGAGCAGGAGAAGTACATCTCTGTCTGTAAACGGAAGTATTCACGGTAGAACAAGTGTTGGCCGAAACAGGAAGTTCAAYAGTGCTCAACCAGTCAGGAAACGAGCGCGGCGACGACCACATATTCCYGAAAACTCAGTTATAGAGACATTAGAACAGGAGTCCGAGATCTAGATCTTTCATCTCAAGACGGCACATAATACTCTATTTCGAATTCAAAGTTCATAGTTAACCACTGTTATATAACTCTCTTGAGCAAATAATATATACAACCAAATTACCAAACGCAAGAGTAAGAAACGAAAACGATGTCGTTATTACAATAGCTTTGAAGATTTGAAATTTGTTTTCCAAATTAAGACTAACCCTAGGCCTGTATTCCCAAAATACCTAAAAGGTTTTATCTTTCTGGGCATGAAGTGCTAGCTTTTTACAGAGGAAATTAAAGTGGAAATTGTTTAGTTAAGTCCACCGCCAATCACTACTGTTTCTCATGCTTTCTTTTGTGTTTGGTAAATTATCGGATCTGAAATTCGAAAATGGAGGAACGAAAAAGCATTTTCGGGTACAACAGTGTTATTTTGAAAACAACACTGACATAGAGCATGGGAATAGTTTCCTTCACGGTTACCTGCGCCATCTTGAAAAACAATTCCCATGCGGTTATCCATTGTYTGTACTCTTATTGACAATGAAATTTACGTCAAAAATGCTCAAAACTTTGCAGTGAAACCACTTGAGTTTTGAGCATTTTTGACGTCAAATTCATTGTGAATAAGAGGAAGCTTTTCCTTTACATACGATGTATTTTTATTTTCAAACATGAGGAAAAGCTTGAAAGGGATGCTGGTGGACCATGTCCCTTTAAATGTTTGGGAAAACTTGATTTATAATGTCAGACTACCCAAAATGCTCTTTGAGCCAGACAAAGTTTTTTTTAATCAAGTGTACATATGTAACCCGACCGCTGATTGTTTATTTCCTGTTTCAGTGAAATAATTGTACCTATAACGTACACTTTGGCTCGAATACACTGCTCTTGCAATGCCGCAACAATTATCAACCTATATTGTATATAATATATGTAAATATAAAATAAATACATTAAATTGTATATAACACACGATCTGATTGGTTCAGACTTTCATGTTTCACTGGCGAATTTTGCATTGCATCAAAACTTACATAGCAGGCATTGCACACTGACAGTGCGAATAAATATCATCCTTTATTTGTGTAAAGTTTATCTTTTTGTTTAATTATTTTTACTGATTTAAGTGAAAATTAATTTTGCATTAATTTTTAATCACATATTTTCAGTTTGTATAATCATTTAAATCTTTTGGCTGCAAGCCGCGTCCTCACTTTGATAGTAGTCACATGGCAGGCTATAAATACAGAGTCTTTGCATGGCCAGAAAATCCGGACATTTGAGCCCGCAATCGCAGCCGGATTTCGCATAAATGCATAAAAACATGTTTGTAAATTTTACAAAGAAAGGTATGGATCAAAAAACAATATTTGAGAATAACATTTCATCTGTTTTAACTGGAAAGATTCCTTAGATGAATTCGTAGAGGGAAACTATTCTTGATTCCACTGTAGGAAATCCAAATAAATCCAATATTGTTAACTTTTTGACAATTTATTTTCCTTTCGTCGTCTCCCTTTGGCCTTGTATCTCATGGTGAAAATTCGCGAAGAAGCGAAATTTCACCGTAGCTGATCGTGTTCCTTTACATGTCACTGATATTTCATAGATCATTTCTCAAAGTCCACATAATGAGGTAGGAACACAGCGATTTTCAGCTATTTTGAAGACGATCAACAGCGTCCTTTTTGGTACTAGAAATCGTACAATTTTAAAACATTAACTTGACGCTTAAATGGATGGCCAAGACGCGTGTTTCACGCGAATAATTGGCCTCGATCTTTCATTTTCTTTTCATTTTATTCGCCATGTTTGGTACCAAAATAAACCTTAGAAACGTGGCTTTCAGATTGGGACTGCTTTATTTTTGGCGGTTTTTACTGGCGCCTTGCGCGCAGTGGTAAATAGCGGGAAATACGAACGAAAGATCAAGTCTACGCTATTTAGTGTAAACAATGTCAGACCTTTTAAATTCCTTAGAAATGTACAAGTATAAACAAAAGATCACAATATCAACTGATGATCATTGTTTAAAATACCTGAGGGAAACGTGTGTTCCAGCAAACAATATTATTTACACTATGAACATTCCAAACGACCACCTTACAAGCCACTAATGAACTCAAGGATCAGAGCGTGTTATCCCAATACTCGTTTGTCGATGTTTTGAACGTTTCGATTTTAGCCCAGTATTGAATTAAGATAAAGGATCGTTGCACAAGAGTAGAAAATTTGATCTTCAAAAGTTCACCTCAAGGGAACTTGTAGAAAGCTCTATTTTGTTGGGAAAACCCGCTGACTCGTCCCGGGCTCAAATGTCCGGAATTTCTGGCCATGATCTTCTCCACTAACTAAAATACTTCCAATCGTCGGTTTTTCCTTATTAGAATTATGTTCGCATTCCTTAGATAAGTCCTTTGTAGTTTCAGAGCCTGTATATGTTAATAATATAGAGTTCGCTTTTTATAAGATAGGTAGCTATAGGATTTCATAAGTTTTTTTTTCGTCATATCTCTCCAAATGACCNACTTATAAAACTCATTAATATTCATAAGGCAAAACACAATAGAAATCATAGCCCATGAAGAGAGTTGTATATTACATACAGATTTCTTGTTCATTTGCATAAACTTTTACTCTGATTTTCTCAGTCAGATTGAATTTTTTTTCAAAAGTTTCTTTAAAACCTGAGCTAATTTACCTTAACGTTTCATAAGTAATATACAATATTCGCTTGCGATCTGTATGAGGATTTAAAACAGCTCGCTTTCAGCTCGCTGTTTTAAATCCTCATACAGATCGCCCGCTCATATTGTATATATTACTTACTGAACCGAACACAGTTCATGAAAACAAAAGCCAATACACAAGAGACTTGACAACTGCCATCTTTATTTCATGTACAATCAAGACAAAAGACACATCTAGATCTAAAATAGCCACACAATACACTAGGGAGCGCGTTTAACGAATCTTTATTTATTTGCGCTGCCGTAAAATCAAAACAAAAGACACATCTAAAGCTAAAATAACCACACAACACGCAAGGAAACGCGTTAAGAATYTTTATTTATTTGCGCTGCYGTGGAATCAAGACACAAGACACATCTAAAGCTAAAATAACCACAAAAGACGCAATAAAACGCGTTTGGAGTCTTTATTGTCTGCGCCGCAGCAAAATATGACAGAAGACATTTTAAGGCTAAATTGAAAATACTGTAACAATAGAAAACCCAGTACGCAAATGAACGTGTTATCTATAAACGAGTTTATTATAAGAGCCTAACCTAAAAATCAARASAAGACGCACTGAAATGACCCGCAAAAATCTATAAAAGCAACGTGGTTTCGAACGAATTCTATCGCTCAAAGCTGAGTTATTTGACTAGTCAATATAATTAAGCGATTTGACAACAACCAGCGGCGACGTTTTAAACTTATCCTTTGCTTGAAGCTCAAAATAAAACACAAGGAATTGTATTAATCATTTGGGAAATGTTTGTGAGATACGTACCTTCCTAGCATGGGACAATAGTTACCAAATCATTATTTCCAGCAGCACTCGTAACAGTTATAAAGTTAGTTACTATAGCTATCTATTTCACTTTCACCCTATAATCAATAATAGGGCAATTCTTCTTATGTCCTTTCAATGAACTCGATTTCCATGAAGCCTATATTTAACACAAGTTCTAGCCCTTCCCGACATCTTTCCTCTGGGTTTAACAAAGAACTAAACTAGCTCTTTATTTCTTTCCTTGTGGGTGGGACATTTTTTAACAAATTCCTCCTTCTTCATTAGGTAGCTTTTAATAACATTGTTTGGCTTCCAATTCTCTTGTGTATTACCTTTTGTTTTTAAGAATTGTTKTGGTTCAGTGATATCTACTATTTCATACAAATAGTCAGTAAATAAAAACTAATAGTTACTACTTCTTTGATTATGTTTCACGGTACAAGTGTGATGACTCTATTTATCGTTATAGAAATAGAATTTTAACTTAAAAATAAAATAACAAATAATTTTTTCTTTAATACCAAGAGACTCCCCTCCCTGATAAAAATAATTGGTCTGTGTTCTACGCGGGTTCTCCATTGCATGCGAAGCAATGGCCGACTTCACGAAGACTTCAGAAGGTCGTTGAAGCGACGTTCAAGTCCAAAGTATCTTAGGAGGAACCATTGCAAATCCTTTTTCTTAGCTCTTGTTTCCTCTAAGCTTTGAGGTATCTACAACATCACTGAAAGAGCACGTATAGAGTTAAAGCGTTTGTTATTTTTGGTACAAACAACTGTCGTAGTTCATCTTTTGTCGCATTTTCGGCAATAAGCCGCAAGCATGCTCGACGATACGACGGGTTGACGTTATGTAAGAGGTCGGTTACACATTTACTAGCTTTGACCTTACAACGAGAGCTAGAACGGTGACTGGGGTTTTTCACGTAATGTTTTGATAGCCACTGTTTATGTCGAAACGACTCAAAACAAAATTCCATCGTGAAAAAAGTTCGACTAAATTCCCTTCTTAAAAACACGTGTGTATTTAACCAATCACAACGTCCTTGTTGATCTATTTCAAGAGCGGACAAGAAAGGAAAAAATTATGTAGTCGATGGAGGCGAACGAATTGAAGTTCGCATTTACGAGAATTTTTCTTGAACTTCCTTCGCTACATTGCTCATATAGTAAAGTATGTTTTCTATGGAATTCAAAATGGTTGCTCAGCAAAAGGTTTAAAATTCTCGTAAATGCCAACTTCAATTCGTTCGCCTCCATCGACTACATAATTTCTTCCTTTCTTGTCCGCTCTTTGAAGTAGATCAACAAGGACCAATCAGGTGCCGTGTAATATATGCGCACCTTGTGATTGGTTGTCTAAAAATAGATTATCGGGACATCTGATGGTGGCGATATTATTGGGGAGATGGACACTTCTGGTTATGAAGAAATGAAAGAAAGTTATAGTGCTTAGAAGGAGGCAATTCCGGGAGNTTTCATAAGTTTTTTTTTCGTCATATCTCTCCAAATGACCAAAACACTCGAAATTTTTAGTGTGGCTATACCGCGAATGGTATGTGGATTTATAAGTGATTTGAGCGTGTTGAATCCATGTCTTTAAATCACGTTATATCACACTTGCTAMCATAAAGATAGCACATGGAAGTTGGTGAATGCCATGTGTTAGGTTTAACATTCGTACCCAGTGAATTCTAGTTTGGACGATGACTGCAATTTGTGATCGAAATACGACGAAGAAAAAGAAAAAGGAAAATTAAACTCGGGATTTCTTTGGAACCCCGAGTAACAATTTCAACCAGGAAATTCAACGATACGAAATTTTACTTCTAAAAGCATTTTAAAGACGGTGTTTCGAAACCATTATTTTGCAAAGAATCGGGTTTTCCATTTTAAAACAGTTTTAACAGCTGCGAGTGGAGACTTATGTTTGATAGTTTTAATTAAAATTAGCTCACGGTAACAAACACTGTTAGTCCTCACGATGAGTAACTTACTAATAGATCTTTTAATAATATCAGGGTCTGAATGGGTTAAACCGATCGACACTATACTAGCGACAAATTTGAACAAAATTTGCTGACTACCGACATGAACATATTTACTGACTGGCGACATTTTCCTAAAAATAAATATTTTTAGGCAATGCAATATTCAAAGTTATTAGCTTCCCGAATACAAGAMTTTTGTATTTTTCAAGCAACTGAATTCGAAATTTTCCGTGGAGAAATTTTGCTTCGGATTAGCCTCTTGAACTTTTGATTAGCCACTCTAAAACTTTGACTGGCATCCAATTGACCAATCAAGACTCAAGGATTCAGTTCAGATTCAGTTGGCTTTTTAGAAAGCATTCTGTTGATATAACGCATCGTTTTTTTTTTAATAACCGACTACCGACAAATGCCTAGAATTTCACCGTCTCTCACAAATGCCTAGGTTTTAACTGGCTACCGACAAATGYTTGAAATTTTAACTGACCCATTCAGATCATCCTGTGACTACGACCCTTACATCAAACTATTCGCCTTTTGATGAAGTTACTAAATCAAGCTGCCAATGGCAACACAACTCGGAGATTGTAGGGTGATTTGAAAAAAAAAATAACAGAATATGAAATTGAAAAGTGTACCACAGAGCTTATCACGATCAGCTAAAACATTGCTGTAGTATCATCAAGAAACCTACGATCGCAATCAGTCTTCGCCGGCAACAAATTCGGCTACAAAACTTGTTTCGCTATCCTTCCAAATTTTCTAACTTTCTTCAAAATGACTAAGTACGATGTACTCCAAGTAAGTCAAGTAAATTTCACCGAAAATTGTCTCTTAGACCAGCTTTTATATTTCCCCGGTTACTTCTCACGCAATATATTTTTAACTCGGAGATTTGCTTACGCAATCTCCGAGTTAAAAATGCATCTGGCGACAAATTGTTACAAAATCTTTTTAAATTGTTACAAAATCTGTTCTTTAGATGAATTACAAATATACGCAYATTGTTGRTATTTTAATTTAWTTGCAAAMGTCCATCAAGGCACATCGTAGTGGGAGTCTAATAATCAATCTTTCTATGGTATGTTAACCATATTTTGMCGCAACTGGWCACATAAAATACTTTRTGAAAAGTCAGCTTACATTTCTCTCCAGATGATCYATTATTGGATTTTTTGTTAAATTTTAGTCAAATCTGAAAATTGCTCAGTTCCTTTAATTAATGTAAATTTGAACACTTCAGATGCTGCTATYATTTGCTCAGTTTGCTGTTTTCACTATAGTCCAATAAAAACGAGAAAATTTAATGATCAATTATACGTACCTACATCCGGCCTCTAAAATACAACCTTCTGCCTAACAGAATCCATATCGCCGTGTGGAYCAGTGACAGCTAGTGACATAAATGTCAGAAAATTCTGTTCATCTAACGTGAGCCAACGACACTTGTGTGATGTGGACTTTTCTTTGGTTATTCGTGCTGGAAGCAGTTGTTATTTCTACGGCAAATGYTGCAACAATCGTCATATTCACCAGAACACGCCGTCTTCACAGTAAACAGTACATTATGATTATCAGCCAGGCTGTAGCTGATTTCTTCGTAGGCCTTGTGTCTGTTCCCATGTTTATTGCTTTTTCGGTAATCCGACATGTCGATCAAGTGACTTACTCATCCTTTTTTGGCTTTGTATTTTATGTTCAAGATAGTATCTTCAATGGAGCTTCATTGTTTGGTTTGGCAGCGTTGGCCATTGAACGAGCACATGCAACATACTTCCCATTCAGGCACTCCACATTAGGTAAAGGACTGTACATCATCGGGATAGTTTTCATGTGGACTGCTCCATTTATCGTGGTCGGCCCACAGATATTTGTTGAGGAAGTAAGGGTGGTCGACAACATCATCATAGCGTTAATTGGGTTCACACTTCTGATTATTTTTACTGCGTATTTTCTTATTGTTCTGAAAGTCCGTTGCAGACCCATTCAAACACACGATGTAAATGCCCAACAGAAYAAGAAATTAACTGTCACTCTTGCCATTGTCACCGCGCTAAGCCTGATCATGTGGCTTCCCTTCCAATCCTTGGTAGTTGCTCGTATTATAGCTTTTCCATCTCTCACTTATTATTCAGTGAAATTCCTAAATTATGGCAACTCGCTCGTTAATTGTGTTGTTTACGCATTTCGTATGCGTGAGATCAAAAGAGAAATATTGCGCGTATTTCAGTGTTGCCGTAGCAACCAAACCGGCTCAATAAACAACGAAATGGAACTTGGGAACATGTGAAAACTCCGAAATTACTGACATGAAGCCGATATTGTTAACAGACTCGAGCTACAATCGTTGACAAAATCCTTCGACTATTTCACATGTTTCAGTCAGCTAATTTTCTCATTTTAAGCAACACACGCAGACAATTCCATTCCCTCTGATCAACTAAATACAATGTTGTCATTGAGCATGTTAATATAGTACACAACCATCGAAAACAACACCCAACATTGACGAAGAGGGAGAACTGTGGCAAAATAAAGGAGAAAAAAGTTAGGGTGAAGACAAATAATCATATGGTCCAACTTTTTTGGCAACGATTTTATGTATTGCACAGAAACGATACAAACCATAAAAAAACTCCGCATGAATGTTTTGAATCCCTTGTACTTCGCTGACAGTTAGTTGGAGCACTAATGGCTTCATTCCGTAGCCACCGCGATGCCGTTTAGCGAAGTTCAATTTTCATGCAATAAATTCTCGGCAAGTGAGATTATTCACAAAGTGTTAACGCTCAAAATATCTCTGATCGCAAGTAAGAATAGGTATTGATCGAAAACTGCGCGGAGTTTGATGTCAATTAGATGAAGTTTTAAGGTCTCTTAGAGGTTGTAGTTTACAGCCAGTTGGCAAATGTCGATCGCTGACTGACCTCCTTTGTCTATTTTTATTTACGTGGGTGGAATAGTAATAATGGCTTTAAAAATCAATCGTTCTTCGTAGAAATGTTTATACTTATTAGATAAAGAAGAAGGAAAAAAGAGAAAGTCTTGAAAAGTTTTAGAAAATGAAAGAGAAAAATTCACGGCTTCATCTNCTCTTTGAAGTAGATCAACAAGGACCAATCAGGTGCCGTGTAATATATGCGCACCTTGTGATTGGTTGTCTAAAAATAGATTATCGGGACATCTGATGGTGGCGATATTATTGGGGAGATGGACACTTCTGGTTATGAAGAAATGAAAGAAAGTTATAGTGCTTAGAAGGAGGCAATTCCGGGAGAAGTCCCTTAGGAATAAATTCGGAAAAATTAATTTCCGACCTCGCTGGGATACGAACCCACGACCTTCGGATTTGTACACCGATGCTCTACCAGCTGAGCTACAAGGCCAGACTGGGAGCAGGTCGGGGTGAAATAGATGCTAAGGTTGCGGTAATAGAATAATGTAAAGGATCCCAGCGAGGACGGAAATTACTTTTTCCGAATTTATTCCTAAGGGACTTCTCCCGGAATTGCCTCCTTCTAAGCACTATAACTTTCTTTCATTTCTTCGTGTTTATCATAGTGCCAAGCGGTCTTCATATTCACTTCTGGTTATGTACTTCTGGCGAACAGTTGATTGATTGATTATTTAAACAAAATAGACGTAAAGTTAGCATTCCATCTACGATAAATATAGTGTTTAGAATGAGAGGTGGAAAAGACTAATATATTTGTTTACATTTGCGACTGTTCATTAGCATATCATCAGAATAAGCATATAACGTTTTAACTTAACATCTGAATATTGAAACACCATGGCACAATAAGCTTTCCTCGAAATTTTGAGCTTACCATATGAAATAGAGAGACTATATGAGCTAAACAGCGCTTTAATTTGCCACTCAGTATCTTTGAACCCTAGTAACTAATAAGCTATTGCATGTTAAGACCTCAAACTTCGTAGTCTATCGATCTTAATAAATAAAAGATATTGCAC